TTTCTGTTTTTTCTTGTTGATTGAATATTAGGTCATAATTGATATAATTGACTTAAATATTCTTCAGTATCTGATTCAGATCCAGACATAAAATAAAACTTTAACTAAACAAGCTTTACTTTAATTTAATTAAAAAATTAACAAATAACGAACCAAATAACTTTAAAGTAATGTTAACACATTGACAGACGCAACTGCCATAGCAGTAAATTTCAGTTGATCTACTGGGGCACTACTGCCATAGCAGTAGTATTAGGTCGCCTTTAAATGGACACATCTGTTATAGCAGTAGGATTTTTCATTACCGTACATGCTAATTTACATCTTAGGTACTGTCCCACGGCATATGCGTCGAATTTTGGGCACTGCCACCTTAGACCAAAAAAAGGCGGAGCATTCATCATAATGTTGTGATGTAACTGGGGGGACCAGATGGCGTCATTACTGTTATTTGTGTATTTTATCTGCACGTGTCAGTTGTTTTGTGTCCCCAGGCATAGGGAAATAGAGTAGAATTATTTTTGAAGCTTTCTGATAGTCTTTTCTAAGCAGTAGAGTAGAGTGGGGCAGGTTCGGACATGGGGCACCTCCGGACATTTTGAATTTACCGCCTTCTGAAACTTAACGCGTTTCGGGATTTTAACAGTAGGTACCAGTGCCTGGCTTTATATCGCCAGACAAAATTTTGTGCCGGTATCTTGAGAAATTTGGGAGTGATCACCAGAAATACATAAATAGTGACCCCAACCAAGTATTATGTCCTGTACTCGTAAGGTTTTGCACGATTTGGTGATGTAATTTTTAGGTTTTAAAGGGGTATGTAGTTTTACACCACATAAACTATATTTAAAGAATCGACAAGACATGATTTTCAGTTTTTTTGGTTTTTTTTACATTTTGTACATGTGGGGCAGATACGGACATTACAGGGTGTGGCACATTCAGACTATCAACTTCTCATGCTGGGAGTGCTCGCATGGCTACATTTTTAAAATTCAACTTACATTTTGGTTCTTTTAATGTAAAATAAATTATTTTATACTTTAATAATAGAAACATGTTTAATTTACGTTTTTTTGTCATTATTTATTTTTGTTATTTTTATATTATTTATTTTTGTAGGCTAGTGCCAAAGTTTATAGGTTTGTATGTTTGGAGTTCCTTTAGACTATGAGTTTTGATGTTTAGATAGATGCTAAACTATTTAAAATATACCTGTCAAAAAATAAACTGTTTATGAAGTATATGTCCCCATACTTGTCCAAAACTGCCCCACCTTCGGACAAATGACAACTTTTTTTTATTTTAATTTTTACGAAAAACGGTGTAAGTTTTTTCTGAAATTGTTATGGCATTGGTTTAAAAACATATGAAACAATATATTTGCATTTTTAGAACAATTAGTTAAGCTAAAATAAAAGTTCGGTATCACCTTAACCAAATCCGTCCGAACCTGCCCCACTCTACCCTATCTTACCTTACTTACTGAGTTAGGAATGGATTCAAAGGAGGAAAAGAAACTTCTACAATATTATGAGCAAGTTGCTAGTGACTAGTGAGGAAAGTAGTTCCAAAAAATGATAATAATGTTTAGTAGGATATTTTGGAGCTTCATTTATTCTAAGTACTTTATTCACTTGCAAATAAAAAAGTTTTCAATTTTTGTTTTGTTTGCTTACTTCTATAGCAGTACTGCTACTACTGCTGTAGCAGAACCCTGTCCCACCGTGTTCAAAAAATCTACGCGGAGGGACAGAACTTCCATAGTAGTAATGCATTTTCTTTACACCAATCTCTTTATAATCATACACAAATACTCCTGTTAAAATTTCATAAAAAATTATCGAACAGTTTAGAAGTTACAGGTGTGTGTTTCTGAGGTCTCCCACGAATTTTCCACTGTCTGTCAACGTGTTAATATTAAAAAATAATGATAATATCTGAATTGTGTGTTTTGGAGTGACTCAACTGTAAAAGTAGGTATTAAATACACCACACTCAGAGAAATTTTCGCTGTCCCAACCAGAAATAATATGTATAATGCAACAATATAATACAGTTGATATAGGCACAGCCACACATATAGTTGAATGTATCATAAATATATTGTTAATTGTTATTGTTCCTTCATAAATATTATTGTTTTCTGCAACTAGATTATATTGCTTGTCCTACCAAAGCTGCATGCTTCTCATAAATATAAATATTTTTAAAACAACAAAAATATTGTTGCTGTTGCAATCTAGTATTGATGCAATTACCTTTTTACTAATTTCCATTAACCATATTATATATTATCTGCAATCACATCATTTGTTGCACAATAATAATTTATACTTGTTTTTTAATGCCAATTATTGCTTTTTTAACAATGTGTTTTGTTAGAATTACCAAAGCTTTTTGAATAGATACCTACCTACAGGAGATCAATAAAAACAATTTCAAAACATTTAAAAAATGTATTTTGCAAATAAATACAAAACCGACATAGTTAGAATACACAGGCGTTATCGTTTGTATCACTTCAAAAGGGAGGGCCCTATAGAGAAAAGGTAATTTCCCTTCTTCGTCGGTGACGACATCAATGGCTCCTTCTTGGCCGGTTCTTACTATACAACACTGTTCTTAAAAATATGTATATTATGTAAACTTAAAAAAATAGATCAACAAAAATATTTGGACTTACTTCGTTTAGAATCACTTTACAGCGAGTTTTAATAGCTTACGAGGTTCACGTGTACATTTACACACAAATAAAATATATAGAAGGACTTTAGGAGGGGAATCAAATTGTTAAAAGACAAGAGAACGCACTCGTGAGAGAGAAACTATTCCTGGTTCCTATGGCCATTTTGGAGCTGAATTGGTGTGGTAGGTTAAAATAGCTTGCTTGCAGCCGTCAAGCTGTGCCTGAGGCTAAGGCCCGGGTACGTATGGTACTCCTAATCAAACGTATTGTTAGAGCAACATAAACTTATGCCGATTCTACAAAATACACGGTCATATACGATAATGATATCACTAAAGATACATTTATCCCACTTATACGGTATTGTTCCGGTAACTAGATTCTATATAACTGAACCAAATATAGCCTATCATTGCCATCACAACATTATGATTTTAGCAATTCTTTATGTTTGTATTGACAATATATTTATTTAACAATCTATACTTAGTTACCTCAGCAATGACATATTTGTGATTCAAACATAATAATGTCAACAATAACTTAATTGTTATTCTAACTATTTAATATATTTTTTTCATTACCATATATTTTGGTATTGCGACAATAATATGTGTAACTAAATATGATTGTTGACCTAACAATGGTAATTTTTTTGAGTGCATAAATGTGAGATTCTCAACATCTTTTGCATCGATACACAACATGAAGCTTGTTCCAATATAAGTCAGAAGATGATGATACGATGTTCAGGAAGGGATTTTGTCTACTTTGAACCAATATCATATAATTCACCTGAAATCGAAACTAAATGTTACCTACACATCGCAGTAACTTGAAAGTTTCAGAGTTCATAAATTGAAGTTTTTTTAGAATATACACCAAATTGGAAATCGGTATGGAGCTCGGAAAGAGATTTATTAATCTTATTTTACTTTGAACAACAGCTTGAAACTTTCAAAATTTATGAAATGGTGCTTTTTCTAAAATATTTAACTCTTCCCAGATATTATAAAAAGGGATTTATGTTTTTTTTTTCCACTTTGAAATTTGAGAAATCATAACATTCCTCTCAAATCACCTTTGAAGGTCTATGATGAATACTCTAACATCTCTCAATAACTTGAAATTTTCAGAAATTTTAAAATAGAGTTTTTTTTTATAAACCAAATCAGAAATTTATGTGAACCTCAGAAAGAAAATCATGATTTAAATTCCAGTTTTCCTCCAGAAAAATCTTAAAATTACCTACTGGTAAAAATCACATTTCAACGACTGTGATAAATACTTTGATCCATCATAAGAACTTGAAACTTCCAGAATTAATTTTAAGTTATTTTCAAAACATGAACCAAGTCAGAAGTTGATGTAGGTAATGCTCAAAAAAGGATTTAGGTTTTTTTTTTCGCTCTGAGCCTTTCAAAATCCTTTAAAATCATGTTTTTTTTTTTTTTGTCCTTTTACACTTTGAAAAATCATAAAATTCTTCTGAAATCACTTTCGAAGGTATTGAATAAATACTTTGATCAAACATTTCAAACTTGAAACTTTCAAAATTTACAAGCTCGAGATTTTTTTTGTTAATTTAAACCAAGCCGAAAATTACTCTGATGTTTAGAAAAGGTTTTGCCACTTTGAAAATACATAAAATTTCTCTGAATACTTCAAAGCAATTTGAAATTTTCACATTGATACTCGGCTTTTGACTCATTATAAAATGATCTAGAGAAATAATGTGGCTCTCTATCGATATGTTCCAATTTAGTCTGCATGATCGATACGCAAGTTAAAATTGAAAACCCGATGTCATCTAATTAAACACCAAAGCAAATTAGAGGAACTGAAAACAATGCCCCTGCAACTTTAATTAGCCAATTACCTTAAAACATCGCTATCATTAGCAATCAAAATTATATTGCTGTAAATTTTCATAATGGTTCAGTAATTGCAATTAAACTTTCTGATTTAAGAAGAAATTTTGCTGCCCATTTCACAGCGAATAAAAAATAAATTTGAACAAGAATCAAGCATATTTTTCACTTAAAGTTAAATTTACTTTAAATGAATAATATAAGTGGATGAAAAAAATAGCTACATCATTTTCTCCTTATAGATCCCTAAAGAGGGTCAAGACCCTTTTCGAGACCTTTCCATTCAAAACAGTGTGAAAAGGCACATTTCCAAGAAGTTTTTTTTCCATACAACCAAAATCCCGCCGCTGACATTCGGGAATACTCGGTGAAACCTTCCGATTAAAACTTCCGGAGAGAATTATTCCAGCTTCAGCTGGCAGTTTCGGTTAACCATCTCTCGAGAGTTGGCGCTCACCCTAACTTTAATATTCGTGAAGGTTTTTGCCCGCCAAATAATGCGAGTTTCAAAAAACGTTTTGTTGTTTTTCGACTGTATAACTTAAGAAACTTTTTGATGTGGAGCATAAATTTGATTTTCAATATTCTCTTGGGTAAGTTTATTGTTGTTGTTATTATCAGCTACATATAGCTACAACTATTTGATCAGATATTGAAATGCAAAATTGATCAAATCCTAGTTTCTTTTGTAATAATAAAGTTTAGATATATTAGGTTTAAACATTATTTCCTAGGCTTTTTTTTAAAAATAGGTACCTATGTAAATAGCTATCCAAAGTTTACTTTTACAATTATTTTCATTGGACGTAAATCTGTAGCACTTTTGCAAGACAGGTTTATAAAAATAAACAATAATAATTATAATATAACTAATTGTGAAATTGTGGTAGGCAAAATTCAACAAGTTAATTCTACACTTAATCCAAAATTTATTCGAGAATTCACTTTCGTTATCAGTCTGTAAAATATTTCTACTGGACGAGCAACAATAGCATCATTTTTTCATTTATTTCATTTACCAATTCTCAATTCATTTCTTCATTCATTCATTCAATTAATCAATCCTTAATTCATCCAATCATGCAAACTTTCTTTTTCTTCTGAAAAATTTTTTTGCTCATTTTTTTTTTGTTCACTAAGGCCCAGTTTATGCACCTTCTGATAAACTATCGGGTAATGCAATTTGACTGATGATAAAAACGCAATCTATGATCTTAATGGTCGGTCAGTTATCCGCCGACCAAAAGAATTAGGGATTGTCAAATTTATCTTGTAGACAGTTATTAAGTAAGTTTATCTGAAGATGATTAAACCGGGCATATAAGTCAAATTATTATTTCTGGTTAATTAATAAAGTCCACAATAAAACTGTTTAGGTTTAATTTTCACCGGAATTTTCCTTGTTATGAAATAAAAGAAGAATTTTATTTTCATCTTTTATAAATTTCGAACCAGCCTTATAGTATTCTGCCTATATAATGATTGGATTTTCTACAGCATTATTTTTCTCAGCAATTTTTTATTGTCATATCTGCTTCAATGTTTGACTATTTAATATTTTACTTCTATTGTAAATTCTATGCTTTTTCAATTGAAATATTCTCCGTAGTATTTACTTTAAAATGAAGTAAATCCGAAAATACCGGAAATTAGTAAATCCTTCTTTGTAAAGTAAATACTTCGTAGAACTACTACTTGTAGTAGTAGCAGGTAGATACTTCGTTCGAGAAATATTATGTACCTATGTATAGATTTTATAAAAATGTAGAAGCAAGCGATTTTTCAATTAGTCTCTTTGATCAAGTTAATCTACAGATCTTCTAAAATCGCCCTGTTTATCAACTTCATACATATTTATGTAATTTTCGCTTCTGAAAAGATTTATTCATCTAAGCTGTTCTTGAAAGCTTACTTATTCTGAGATGATCTTAAAAACTTGCTTAATGTGAGAACCTCTTGAAAGATTAGTTAATCTTGGGGTTAATCTGAGCTGTTCTAGGAAAATACGTCTATCGGGATTGTTCTGAGTAATGGCAAGGATGTTTTAAAATCCGACGACGCTGAATTAAATTTTAAAACTCTCGAACTGAAATTAAAATGTTTTCCATTACAATTGAAAGTGTATGTTAACTCAAACTCAAGCAACGACAATGAAAACTGTAATTATATCTTACAGCCACGATCTGAAACCATAATACACAATGTTATTAACGGTAAATTAAGTGAAAGAAGGCTACTGTTGCGATGCAGTAATTTTAGAAGGAGTTTACTTAACAAAAGCTATTTTAAAGGTGATGAAAACAATACTGCTGTCACTACTATCGTAAACACTCTATCGGAACTCGAGATATTCCACGAAGATCACTGTTTAATTTTGAATGCTTCACAATCAGAAACATGTAATTCTCACACGGTTGATCGCATTTCAACGTTAGAAAATTATTTAAGATTAGAACATCTTAATTCTGAAGAAAAATTGTCAGTTTTAAATCTTTGCCGAGAATTCAACCAAATTTTTTATTTACCAAATGATGACTTGATATTCACTCAAGCTATTTAATCTAAAATAATTACTGATACCCCAATTCATTCCAAAATTTATAGACTTCCAAAATGTCATAAATCTAAAATTTAAAACCAAATTGAAAAAACGTTGAAACAGAAGATAATTCAACCATCTGTTTCCCTATGTAATGCACCACTTTGGGTGGTACCTAAAAAAAATGATTCATCAGTACATCTAAAATGGCGGATCTCAGTCGATTTCAGACGCCCTAATGATGTCACTGTAGGCCAAGCCAATTCCATATTGACGAAATATTAGACCAATTGGGACATGCATCTTATTTTACAGTTCTGGATCTAGCCTCAGGCTTCCAACAAATTAAAATGGATCCGGAAATGCACCAAAAACTGCTTTTTCTACGCCTAATGCGCATTATGAGTTCCTACGAATGCCATTTGGTCTTAAATGTGCACCAGCAGTATTTCAAATATTGATGAATACGGTTTTAACCGCATCAGTTCAGGAAAATTAATGCTCTGTTTACCTCAATGATCTAATTGTCGTTGGATCAAATGTTTCCGATCATAAGCAAAAATTAAAACTAATATTTCAGAGATTGTCTCGAAATAATTTAAAATTACAACCTGATAAATGTGAGTTCATGAAAAAGGAAGTTATTTATTTAGGTCATAAAATTTCAGAAAATGGAGTTCAGCCAGATGAAAAGAAAATCGAAAGTATTTGATCAATTCTATTGAAATTACTACACATCATAGTTATTGGAGATCTCAGGAGAATATTGGTTTTTGCTCTAGTACAATAAAATGTTAAGTTGTTCCTGGCTTTGGAATCTGGGAACCAAGAAATTCATTTTCGAGAGTAAGTGAGGACATTCGATCTTTCCGTGTATCAATTTGAACAAGAATGACAGAGAAGCCAATACTCTCCTATGCTCCAGGCTTTGTATGGTGAATCTACTCAGTAGCACTTCATGGTCAAACCCTCTTACTGGATAGGTTCCGTCCATTTTAAACATTACATACTTTTAAAACCTTCGTTGAACTTTTCCAATTATAATTTTGTGGACACAGTAAAACGGATACCAGATTAAACAAGCGTACTCAAGTTCTGAGCGTACGTAAGTATAGTAAAGTGTGAGTAGGGCGTTTATATTATCAAATCCTTTACAATTCCTCACTATAAAGCCGTAAACCGTACTTGCCTCACTAGCTTTAGTTTTAATATGGTCGACAAAAGTAAATTTAGAATCAAACACTATACCCAGAACTGTGACAGAGAAACATCGTAACAATGCTGTATGGTTTATTGCATATGCGAAAGTAATATAAGTCAGTTTACGAGTAAATGTAATACATTTGCATTTAAATTTGAGCTATTTTCAGCACACCATCTTTAAACTCTAGTTAAATTAGCCTGCAGATTTTCACAATCACTCAGACTGTCAATCGGAAAGAAAATTTTGAGATCATCTGCAAATAATAATTTTCGAGAGGTAAGTTCGTCAGCTAGATCGTTAACAAATAAAAGAAACAGGAGAGGACCTAGATTGGACCCTTGAGGTACTCCTGAGGTTGCCGTATATTTCCTAGACTTGAATCCATTGTAAAATTCAAATTGCTGCCGATTATTCAGATATGATGCAAAAAGTGCTAGGAGACCGTCAGAAAATCCGAATCTATGCAACTTAGCAATTAATAACCCATGATCCAATCTGTCAAAAGCTTTGGAGAAATCCGTATATATCACATCAACCTGACCCCTTTTATCCAGAGTTTCTGATATTTCCTGTGATATATACATCAGATTTGGTTCATAAAGCCATGTTGAAAAGTTGAAATTTGGCGACAGACAGATGCGTATACACGTTCATACAAAATCGTTTCAAAAATTTTGGAGAAATTGCACAGGATGTATATTGGGCGATAATTTACTACCTGTGAGCGCTCACCAGACTTAAATACTGGAATGACTTTTGCCTCCTTCCACAGATCTGGGTATGTATGGGAATGCAGCATTAAGTTAAAGAGGGTTCTTGAAGAGGTTACCTATGCAGTCCTTAATTAGAAAAGCAGTTATAATATCTGGACCAGACGTCATTTTATTTTTCAGCTTTTTAGATGCTTTCATTATCTCGTCATCCGTTACGTCGTTGATATAAACTGTACTACATAAACTAGGCTGGGAAAGGTTATCACTAGGCACTGAAGATGGCAAAAATACACTTCCAAAAAACCTACCAAAAACAGTTACTATTTCTTGGGAATCTATGTAAGTTTTCCCCACGAATGCCATTGTATTTGGGATTTTAGAGCTTCTGTTCCTTCCTATGAAAGTAAGACCAAAAGTATCCAGGGTCACTATTAACACTTTGCTGTACAATGGAGATATATGCTTTAAATGCGGCTTCGATATATCTTGCTTAGTTAGCTTTCTCAACCTTTTATATTCAATGAAAAAGTTCACAATGCCAGTCTTTCTATGTTTGCTTAATGCTTTAAGTTTTATATTCTTTATTATTCCAGCGTTATACCGGTCTGGAAAGGAACGTTTATAGCGTTTATATTGATATATATGATACTTATAACAAACAACTTCGGTTGAAATTAAATAAATCGTTCCAAATTGCTAGACGAAACATTTTCAATTCTAAAATGATTAAAATGAAATCCAAAACCTACTAGGATAAAAAAATTAATGATTTTAACTTTTCTGTAGGCGACCAAATTTATGTCTTGGATAAAGCTTCAAAGTCCAGAATAAGTAAAAAAAACTTTTTTTTTTTAGAAAATATTTTTAAGTATATTTACTTATTATTTCCACTAATTAATTCGATAAAATTAACATGTATCGCTATACTGTAGCTTCATCAGAAATTATGATTTTATAAAATAATTACCATCATTTCTGATGAGGCTACAGAGTAGCGAAACATGTTAATTTTATCAAATTAATTAGTGGAAATAATAAGGAACTAAATATATTTTATTTTATGGATCACGACCGGTAATAATTGATATGGTTCGAATAATTGGGAAACAGTATCATAGATTTATTACTCTTTAACAA